TTTATGCAATACAATGTATCATACATTATTTGTTTTCTGTAAAGATTTAATAAACATACGCACTTGTTTGACTACGGGAGAAAAAAAAAAAAAATAAAAATAAATTTTTAATTTTTAAATTTGTAATTTTATATTTTAATAATTAATTTTTTTAATATTTAATTAATAATGTTATATAATTTTTAATATTGTATATATATCTTTTATTTATTTTTTATTGTAATAATTTTTATTTAATTTTAAGATTCAGTTAATAAATATCAAATATTTTCAATATAATTTTTTTTTAGAATTAAATTATATTAAATAAAATTATTAAAAAAATAAAACATCTAATAATATTCTTAAAATAAAAAAGTAAATTTAAAGTATCTTAATAGTTTCAGATTTGTAATTTAAATTTATTAATATTGTATAAATATAATAAAATAAATTCTTGATTAAAAGATTTTTTGTTTGATTTTTTTACTATAAAATTACAGGTTATTTAATTATAATAATAAAATAAATAATTTATAGAATTGTAATTAATCAAATATTTATATATTTTAATAACAATTTAATTAATTGTATCAAAATTTTAAAATATATATAAATTTTAGCAAATTGTATATTATAAATTTATAAATTGTTTTTTTTAAAAAAATATATAATGATCAAATAATAATAAATTGTTTTTTTAATGAATTTTATTAATAATATACAATATTTATTAAATAAATAAATATAAATATTTTATTATACAGTACTGTATATACTGTGGATTTAAATATTTATTACAAAACTTATACATAATATATAAAATATTTAATAGATTTTTTTTAATAAATTTATTTTAATAAATATTAAATAATTTCTAGTAATTATTTGCATAAATAAAAATTAAAAAAAATTTTTTTTAATAAATTTATTTTTATAAATTTCTAGTAATTATTTGCATAAATAAAATTTAAAAAAATTTTTTTTAAATCTTTACTTTTCATAATAAAATGAATTTTAAAAATATCATGTCATGCCATTCTCTTAATAGTGTATATTATCAGCATTCTATATAATGAAATTAAAATATCTCAAAGGTTGCATAAAACTATACAATAATTATCTACAATTAGAAATCATATAAAACTCAAGGTAAAATTTTTCAATTGAAAATCATCATTATCGAAAAACACAATCGCTAAGTTCTATACATGGATGGATTCAGATCGAGGATATAAACTGAAAACAAATAATGAACACAGATATAGGTAAAAAACATAAAGAATCACACTTTTAACAATTTACGTCGATTCCGAAATATGCTTTAAGAACTAAATCAAAGTCTTTCCAAATGACTGACTCATCTCCCCCACTATCTTTATAATCATTGATAAACATAACAATGTTATGAAACAATCCACCCAACAACTTGGACGCATACTCTCTAGCTTTCTTTTCACCATATTCCAAGTATAATCCACAAAAGTAGGCTTCAAATGCATTTGCATATTCTTTTTGATTGCATCCTTTTAAAATACCGTTGCTTTCATGTAACCCCAATATCAAACAAAAGGGTATAAACACCCGATTGCTTACCATGAAGTTAATCACATGATTCAACAAGCGGCAATCGGGATATCGAGTCACGCCGTGCCATGAAATTGCAACCAACAAAAATCGATCACCAATCCATTCATATCTTTTCCAATCATGTTTATTTTTCTTATACCCACAACATGCAATCTCATGGATAACCGGATGCGTGATGGGCAACGGATCTGGAAGGTGCATTCGTTCACGAAAAGCTTGGAAACGTTCAGATAAAATATAACTGTCTAATTGGTTCGTAAAAATAATCAACCATTTGTTTACGTGTTCTGATAAATTACGGTTAAGCTAAGAAATAACATACCTGTGATCGGCCAGTGCAAGGCACCATAAAGAATTTTCATACTTTGGTCAATGGAAATCATTGAATCCATGTCCTCTCTTAAACTATCAAAATAATCTACAAAGTTTATTGAACGAGGATCGCCTGTTAACATGTTGATTCGCTGTTTTTTTCCCGTATCAGAATAGTGATTGTTCTTTTCTACAGTTGAAAACCTTTTCCTTTTTTTTTTATCTGAACCATCCCCCTTGTTTTCCGAATTACCATTTTTAATGGTTGAGGATGTAACATTGGATTGATGCGATCCGTCCAAAGTTTTATCAATTAAAGATTCTAGACTTGATGATAGTTTTTGAGTTAATTCAAATGCCTCTTGAGAAGCCAAAAGAAGGGATTCCTTCTCGGAATTTCCATTGTTCTGCTCCTGAGGGACCATTGACAATAATTCCTTCATCATGTCCTGGACAGAATTGGTAAACTCTTGTTTGTATTCTGGATGTGTGGACAAATATTCCTGAACTTTCTTACTACATATTTCATGATTTGCCGCGAAAATATTAACAGCCACTTGGGTAACTGCCCTTAACTGACCCAGCGACAACTCAGCTGGCAACCTGTTTTTAACTGATCTCGAATCTTTGGTGTCAAGTGAAAAGATGAAATCGAGGTCTGTTATTACGGCCTCACAATCTTTAATAGGACGCGTAGTAGGTAAAGCTTCTTCGACTTGCACCATCATAACCAACACAATAGTTTCGATACAACTCTAAACTTCAAACTTCTTACTACTGTTCGGATCTTTATTTTTTTGAAAAAAAGTTGTTATATGTCGCGCTCATGCTCATCTATTTATGGGAAAGAGCTGCTTAAAATGGTTACTATGATGATGTAATAAGATTTGAATAGTAATTATAACGAAGGTATTATTATTATAATATATGATTTTAATAGGGGTATTATTTATAATAAAGTAAAATTTTATTTTTATTAATGAGAAAATTTAAAATATAAAAAAAATATTTCTAAATAGTTAAATTTAAAAAATAATAATTTAACATGATCTATTTTTATTACATATATTATTTATTTTTAAGATTCAACGAATTAAATACAATAAATAAATAGTACATGAATTAAAACTTTCTCTACTACTACTACAGTATTAATTTATATATGCTTGCATCTTAAGAGTGTATCAGCTATTATTAATTAGGCTATATGCATATAATATAAATAAGAAAAAATATCCTTGGGGGTGGGCGTGTTTAATATGTCGATCTAATAATCGGCTGAAGGTGGAACAAATGTTTTGAAAGAGTTACAAAGAATAAAACAGCGGAGGATTAAGAGTGGGATGTACCAATGATCGATGCATTTACCAAATATTCAAAACCTCCATATGAAAC